GCCCTTCTTTGCCGGGTGTCAGGGACAAACTCCCTTTGACTTTCACCATTGTTCCATGCCTCAGGTGCCTCCTGGTGGCCAAGCAGCCTCTCTGGTCCCTGCTTGGAGTCTGAACCCTGCCCAGGGTCCTCCACATCTTCCAGAGCCGACTCATAGGGTCCCTCGCTATCGGAGTCCATCGACAGCTCCAACGGCTCCTGCTGGGCCACAACACACATCCATACAGCTATTCATAATTTCTTTTAAAGAAATTTGTTTATTGTCTTCTCATTGGATCAGGGAGTGTTCTAGAACATAACTTGAAAAAATATTAACTTCAGTATTAATCTGATCAATCCCTCAAATAATTTTTCTTCTTTTTGTTTTGTTTCTTTTTTTATTTTTATTTTTTCTTTCCTTTCTTTCAGAATTGCATTGAAATCGGGGTATGGAAAATACCTTGGCATTAATTCAGATGGGCTTGTAATTGGACGTTCCGATGCAATAGGTGCAAGAGAGCAGTGGGAGCCTGTGTTTCAAGAGGCAAGTGTTCTAAAATGTTCAGTTGTCCTTCTTAATGTAACTTAGCAGCAAAGGATATAATTTGTATTTGTGAAGAGAATTCAAAGTACCACATACATCAGATAAAGTCACAATGATTTACTGTGAGCCAGACTCTAGATGTGCAGGTCCTGGAGTTGATGAGGCATGGTCTAGTGGAGTTAGCCCTGTAAAGGGTTTGACCCTATGAGTACATGGGGAGGAAATGAATAAATCCTCAGAATTATAGGCACAGCCACATTGTTATTAAATTCATAGCCTTCTTGTTCATCAAGGTCCTGGATCCAGGCATCAATGAATGTGTCCTCCACACCCCATTGCAAGTGGAGAACTGCTAGTTTTAAAGAAACAATGATCTATCATCCCCTCAATAAACTCACAGAAAATCCAAGTCTGCAGGACAAATTTCGTCTCCAATTTTCCTTTTTTATGGAAAGTTGTAGAGAATGTAGTTGATTTGCAGCTTTAGAAAGTTTTTGAAGAAATTGGTTGGTTGGGTCAGGAGTTCTGGGAGTTGAAGTCCATAGGTCTCAAAGTTACCATAGATTCCCAGCCCTGATATATTGGTTGATTACCATCTATAAAGCATGTCAAGACATAAGGACAGGCTATTTGCTGGAACCTGTTTAACCCTATTCAGTGAAATGTACCTAGGCGAGTGTACTCTATGTACTTTCTAAGAAACAATGTACTGGTAATACTCTCTTGCATTTTTTTGTTGCAACAGTTTCTCTTTGCAATTACGTAACTCCTGAGATTCGAATGGACCCATTTTGGGGAGCCTTTTGTAAGACCTTAAAATCCTGGTTCTTTCTTCAGGATTAGGCAAAGATGTTAGATGAACTGATTTTGTAATATGGTAATTGGGAAGATGAATATGATTGTGAGCTCAGTTGTATTTTCTCTTTTGTGATTTCACACTTCTGGCTGATTATCTTTTCTTGATTTTAATCCTACTTTAGCTACACAGATCTGCATTTTGACTTAGGTGGCCATACAAAAACATAAGAACAATAAATAGTGTGCTCAATCTATGGCCTCTTTAGTTATATCATATCAGATAGTACTTGATAGAAGATTGCCAAAGAGTCCTGTTCAGGCAGGGAAGATTATAATGGGCTTGACCTCTGTTTCATGAGTCAAACTAGGTGTCAAGATTCTGTCTTTCATTAGCCCAATTACAGGGTATTTTCTTTTTCCCCAACTCCAGAGAAGAAATATTTGCACAAATTGGCAAAGAAATACTTATATAGAAATGCCTTTTACTGTAAGTGAATAATGGAAGTTTTCTACCTATCACTGACGATTTAGGGATTTGATTGTTCCTATTGCAGAAGTGTAGCTTCACCTTGGATTAAATGGATGAAATAATATATCCTGTAGTAAGACAACTTCTTATGTTACTGAGACCAAAATGACACTATTGGAACATTTACTGTAACGTATTTTTGAAGTGGCTATTTCAGTCTGACACCTGGAAAAGCATATTATTGAAAATAATTGTCAACTTGTTAAATGTAGATTTCGATTTAAATTTGTAATAATGTTCTAAAATGCTGTATTGTAACATTAATAAAGTGGGGGCAAATGGTTATCCAAAATCTATGAACATGCATACATATTTAGGATCAAAAATAATATTAATGAGTTTGAAATTAATGGGTATGGAAATAAATTCCTGAAAAAATAATCTTTAAATCTTGCATGTGAACCGTAAGCAAATAATTTAATTTGACTTTTTGTTCTAGTTGTTGTTTTTTGCCTTGCAGGGAAAAATGGCTCTGTTAGCATCCAACAGCTGTTTTATCAGTTGTAATGAAGAAGGTGATATAATAGCCAAAAGTAAAACAGCAGACAATGATGAAATGATAAAGGTAATTCTTGTAATTTGTAAATATAGGTACTTCTATAATCAGTGTTTGAATGACATAAACAAATGCAGAAACCTGTAGCTTACCACTTAATTCACAAAGATCTAGATTTTCTTCACAGATGGTGATGGTAACAAGAACTGGTTGGTACACATGCATCCTTTCTGGTGTTTTGCCCATAATATATGCCATTTCTGATCATCATTTACTGTTCAGAAACCCCGACAAGAAAAGCTTCCCTTGTCATCTGATTTAGGTTGTCTGTTTTTAACTGGCTTGAACTTTCATGAGAGAAAAATGAGATCCTCAGCAATTTTAGATGTAATAGCTTTAGCTACTGTATTTTTCGGAGTTTGAAACATACCTTTTTCCCTCAAAAAAGAGGCTAAAAATCTGGATGCGTCTTATACACTGAATACAGCATTTTTTGCCTCCTGAAGCCCTGCCCCCTTCACTAAAACAACCGTGCAGAGCCTGTAGAAGGCTTTCAGAGAACTCCTGGGGGCTGGGGAGGGCAGAAATGAGTGAAAAACAAGCCAGTTTTTGCTCAATTTTGACCCTATAAGCACTCTATAAGTACTCCTAAAGGCTATGCCTTTAGTACTGTATAAGCCTCCTAAAGGCTATGCATGCAATTTTTTTTGACAAAAAAACAGGCCATTTTTTGCTTGTTTTTGCTCCACCACCACCACCACCCCGAGCATTCTGCAAGCCCCCTAAAGGCTATTCATGCCTTGGGGGGGGACCCCATTTCGTAAAAAACTGTCTGTTTTGGGGGGGGTTGCAGAGTGCAAAAACCTTTTCTTTTTAATTTGTTTCTTCAAAACCTTGGTGTGTCTTATACTCCGGTGCGTGTTATACTCTGAAAAATATGGTAAATGCTTTTTCCTTTATTTAAGATACAGGTTTATATAGCAGAATTAATAGAATCCAATGCCTTTATGGAATCCCGACACATTTAAAATCAGAAAATACTCAGATTTTTACATAGCAAAAGGCACCATCTGTCCCACCAACAATGTATAAGACTTATTGCTGGAAGAACCGCTGTACAATTATGCACTTAAACTAAATCCTGGCTGTATATATTCCTTGAATCAGTCTTGTACAACCTAGCATATCTTGATGTGTTGGATTATATAAGTCTTTTGTTCTCAGTGTGTTGAGAGCAATAAGAGTCCAACACCCTTCGGATGCATCAAGTGGAGAGAAAGCTGCTCTGTTTCTTAGGGCTTTATTATGAGATGTTATCAAAACAGATTGTTCACAGGCTGATGCATACTTAGGATTAGTGAACCTGAATAGGAAAACGTGGAGGAAAAATACCACAAAGGAAGATAAATTTGAAGTCGCACTTTTCAAAATCTGTAATTTTCTCTCCTCATTTAGATCAGAACATGTACAGAAAAAGAAGCCAAACAAAAAGATGACATTTCTGAAGAAGATAAAGGAAATGTAAAGCAATGTGAGATCAACTATGTGTATGTAACACAAATTTCTTCACTCTCAGTAAAAAAATAAAAGCAAGTTGTAGCTTCACTAGTAATAACAGTTATTTTTCTTTTGGTGAAAACTTTTCAAGAGCTCTGGCCTGAGATTTCTGAATGAATTTTATTCTTCAGCTGCTGATAGGGCTCAAAACTGAACATAGGGTAGATTTTGGTGTTAAAGAAAAATTTGTTTTCATAGAACAAGATAAAAACATTTGCAGCTAAATGCAAAATAGTTATTTTTACCAACTTGTCTTAAGGTTCATCACTGGGTTCAATCCATAAATGGGTGGATTGTTTTAAGCTATTTTACTGCTAAGATGTCTTAATATGTTTGTTCTGCAAATACACATGGATGCACATATGTGCAACACTGTTTCCCAAAACCACATTCCCTTGATTAAATCATGAAACTTACATTCTATGGCATATGCTGCTAATGGTCCTAAGTCGTAAAATGGATCAAATATATGATGTAATACATAGTTCTTCACTGTTCTGGTTTTGCATTTGTACAGGTAGTCCACAACATATGACCACAATTGAGCTACAAATTTATGATCCTAAGTGAAAGATTTCTTAAGTGAGTTTTGATCCATTTTATGACTTTTTGTCACACTTGTTAAGTGAAGCATTGCAATTGTTAAGTTTACACATTAAGTGAATCTGATTTCCCCATTGACAGCTTGTCAGACTGTCACAAAAGCTGATTACATGACTCCAGGACACTGCAATGGTCATAAATATGAGCCAGTTGCCAAGCATCTGAATTTTGATCATGTGACCATGGGGATGCTGTCACAGTCGTAAGTGTGAAAAATGGTCATGTCACTATATATATGTTTTTTTATTTGTGCTGATAAATAAATAAAGGGAGACTAGTATAGATCTATTTCAAGCTACCTGTACTTTATTACATCTTCGAATCCCAGTAAGGGTATGGCTAGCTGATGAGAGCTAAATAGCTTGAAATAGATCTATACTAGTCTCCCTTTATTTATTTATCAGCACAAATAAAAAAACATATATATAGTGACATGACCATTTTTCACACTTACGACTGTGACAGCATCCCCATGGTCACATGATCAAAATTCAGAT